TTTATTTTGCTAATATGTGCATATTTAATATTTTTTATTTGAAAATATACCCGAGAAATTCTTTAAAAACCGCTTTTTCGCTAACGCAGGTGTATGAAATTATTTACCTTTTTTCACCCACTTTGTATCTTTACGCGCGTACTAGTGTGTTTCGACATGCACTTACATGTCTTCTTCTTCTTTTCCACGACGGCTGGAAAAGACGACAAAAAGAACGATGAAGTTTATTGGGAACCGAAATTTCGATTGTACTTTTTATCCTTATTACTATGTACTTCATGGTCCCTTATGGTAAGGAAAGACGACCAGACGCTGCTAAACACAGCAAACTATCAGAAGAGTGTTTACCAATGACAAACTCGTTGGGTCTAAACTTCTGTCTGTCCACGTCGTAGGGTCGTCACTACCCCACTATGTGGGGAGTGGTCTGTAGCAGTAAATAAATCCACAAAATTAATAGCTCTGTACGTGTTTGACGTTATATGCTGACCATATTAGTTTTAATAGAATCACCTAGCTGAAGGCACTTGGTCATGCATCCGCACCAGATCACGAGTGGGAAGGCCGTGCTCAACTTCTCCTGTGATCGCTAGCCAGTTTAGATCAGTCAGTTCACGATATATTGATAACCTATCAAAAATATCTTCAAACCCTCTCGCTTCTGACTTTTGATTTCACTTGGTGGGTACGATTCATAATAGAAGGTGTTGTTGATTAAAACCTTGTCAAACTACAATACCTGTTACATCTTCAGAACAATGGATTCTGACGGTTTGGCTTCATAATTATTACCAGTTGAGCTCATGACGTGTGCGCATATGTCTTCTGATGCTTCAAATCATGAGCTGATAAGTTTGCTGGTGAGAGGTTCACTGAGAGCATGGGCTGAGTGGTATTTATCAGCGAAATTCCCAAACAGATTTTCACTTTCTTTAGAGATTGACATGTTGCGCAACGCATAGAGAATCAAGTCCATTATGTGGTTCCTTGTCCACTGACTGCTGTCGAAATAAATCCACAATGCTTATAGAAACAAAGAAACACAATCCACAAATTAAATCTTTGGATTGTGCATACAAAATATGACAATTGGAAATAAAGCATACGTAGTTGACGGACGTCATCTTCTTTGCTTAGGTAATGGTGGTGAGTTAGAAGGTTTATACTCTTCGGAGGAATGCAGATCACTATCATCATCCACATTTTAAAGATAAGCGTCTGATTCTGACGAACTGCGTTCAGGTCCATAAGTACAGACATATCTGACCAAAAAATACTTTAGAGTTGGATCATCATTGTTCTTTTTACATAACGACAGTACAGACTTAGTGTGCGTATACTGTGAAAATAATTATCAACCACAGAAGTCCTACTACTTTACGTACTTCTTTCAAGCAAGTCCGAAAACTGTCCCAACTTGCAAATCGTCGCGACAACATAATATCAGTGAAGACTCGTCCTATATCACTCACCATTACGATGGCAATACTTTCGTTACTTAAAGGATGGACGTTATCAGACACAGTGTGGCTGAACAAAAATCCAATCTTAAACTGTCTTGAATTAACCACTTTTGAAAATCACACGAATTGTTGAGGTGACGCACCAATCGTTTTACGCCGGCTTAACCTTCAAGTGCTCAGTAACCTTCACCAGCAGTGGACTCAGCGAACCTTCAAGCTACCGATCGGTGGTCCTTCTCTCTATACCTTCTAAAATTGTGGAGTCCCTGATATGCGATGGTATACACGACTACTTACTATCCTTAATATTCTTCTCACCTCAATAGCATGGTTTCTGGAAGGGTTACTTTCGTATCTTCAACCTGTTGACTGCAATGGACAGATGGACAACCATCCTTGATCGGAAGGGGAAGGTTGACATCATTTACCTTGATTTTTCAAAAGCTTTTGATAGGGTAAACCATATATGCCTTATCGCCAAGCTCAAGCGATTTGGTATCAAACCACCTTTAATTGACTGGCTCACTTCATATCTAAAAAATCGACATTTTAAAGTCAGGGTTAACTTCACTTTCTCTCAGGCTATGGAATGTCTTAGTGGGGTACCCCATGGCTCATAACTAGGACCTCTTCTCTTCTTGATTTATGTAAACGATCTTCCACAACAGGTATCTGTTGACTTATTGCTTTTTGCTGATGATATAAAACTTTGGAGGGAGATAGGCAACCAAGAGGATATACTGGCACTTCTGGAGGATCTGACTCCACTTGAGAGTTGGGCTGACGATGACGGACTTACCTTCAACACTTCAAAGTGTAAAGTATTACATCTGCAACATGTTTCAGGCTACAGTTACAACTTAAGAAAGTCTTCTCTAGAAGTGTCCCAAGTGGAAAAAGATCTAGGAGTGTTGGTACCCTACGATTTGAAGTCTTACGCTAACTGTGACGAAAATGCCTCTCGAACAAACCTTGCACTGTTAACATTTAAGTGCATTTTCGGCCAGTTTGACGGGAGAGTTTTCGGCGAGACTATAATTTATGGACGAGCTAATCAGAAGCGTTTGAGGGATCTAAAGGTCACGGCGCCAATTTCAGTACCTGAAGCTCATGTACGGTCGGTTCACAGAGAAGACCTAACAATTAAGCGGCTACAACAAATGTAACTACTAAGAAGTTCCTGTATTTGTGATCATTAGTATTAAATGAATTGTAGACTTAGTGCAGACTACCGTAATGTTGTCCTTCGATGTAATATGTGTTGAAGGAAGACGTACGTCTTCTAGCAGACGTCTGCTAGAATACGAGCCTTTATCACTCGATCCAGATTGAGACTATGGCAAGTATTATATACTTGCCGCCAACTGTATAATAAAAGTACCAGTAACATTGTCTGCATTAATCGCAGATGTTACTGAGGCTTCGGCTGTGCAGAGGTATGACTATTGTAGGGACATATATGTCCCTTTATTATGGATATATCCATAATAAAAATGGTAAACTTACACAATTGGAGCCGTATAGATGAGTTCCTTTACCGTATGCATTACGATTTTGGAACCTTTATCTAACGTTGACAAGTTTTTGGACCATACGAAAGAAGTGTGTCCACTTAAACTATTTGGTGTTGTATAATATATTTTTACTCCATGCTGATTGTTTACTGATTGGCTAACATTTTTCAAGGTCACTTAATTTTCGCTCAAAGGTCGTCCATAAATTATAGTCTCGCCGAATTTTTCACATAATCAACAGTTTTATTCATCCCCATTTAGAGTACGGGAACAGTATTTCCTCCTTCTCTCCAAAAGGATAAGGACACTTTGGAACGTATCGAACTTCAAGCCACGAACTCATTTCGGGACTCAAATTTAAACCTTACGAAGAGCGCCTCCAATCACTAAACGTTTATCCATTAGAGTATAGGCGTCTTAGAGGTAACCTTCCTATGGCTTACATTATCCTTAACACTTCTGGACATCCCCTCATACATCTACTTAAGCTTAGTCCCAATACAAACCTAATGGGTAACACCCAGAAACTGGAGACCCAACATGGCAGAACGGACTGTAGACACAACTTCTATTCTTCTAGAGTAGTCCAATGCTGGGATTCGCTGCCGACTGAGCTAGTCCAAGTGACTTCGGGGGGAGTCCTTTAAGAGGAAACTTGACATATTCTTAAGGACTAAGGATAACATCTTATTATGATTTACCAATTTCTTCTTTCCCCCATATTATCGTTAATATACCTGGGTTCTTGCCTGGAGGTATTGGCGATCCACTGCTACTAGACACGGAAGCCCGTTAAGCGAAAGCTTCTTCTATTCCGTTCACAACCATTTGATACCATTGAAGCGTTGCTACATTAGCAAGATGGCATGACAGGACGACCTTCGACTCGAAATTATCGATTCATTGGTTTGATGGATTAATACCTTTTATTGGAAAATTGGAGTTAATTCAAAGCTAGTCGAGCCGAGAATATACACTTATTTCATCAGAGGATTCACACAAACGGCAATTCCAACTAACTGATCGAGTTGCTCATTACATATATTAAGAATTATATATATATATATATATATATATATATATATATATATATATATATATATATTACAGGGCAACAAACGGTAACTGTGCTGGAAGAAAAAAAACTGGACTCGTGAAGTTATTTGTGAGACCATTTTAAAAAATAAGCTTTACGTCTTGTGACAGGACTATGTTATTGAATTCTTAAAATGAATGTGCGTTGTTGCCAGCATATCGTGTTCTTCCTCCCCAGACATTCACTGATCCTGATTTGTATGATGTTTTAGATCTCTCCTATTTCTAAATAAACTCCGATAACACGTGTTACAATGGACGTATTTAAATTAAGCTGTTTTTTGTCATTTTGATGTTCCGCATAAGGATTGTAGGATAACTTCCTCTGTATAAAGAAGTATAATCGGTGTTTTAGTCTCAGATTTCTGAAGTAATTAAACCTTGATTAGCAATACGATTTCCCTTAGAATAGCGTCAACACATCACTCCCATTAGCATTGGATTCAAGGTATGCATGGTGTTCTCATTTGAAGAGGGGGAAATTTGCTATAAACCTCCCCCGGTATCTTACAGATTACAACCACAGGGACGTCTGCATTTGCTTTTGTGCGTGCTCTGCCCTGGTGTATTGCGTCAACAAGATGATGTCAGGTGCTGGTAAAGGTATGAGAACGGTTCTCACTTCCCGGTTGCCCACACCATTGAAAGATATCTCTTCTTAAGAGACTGGATTAGTGGAGATCTTAGCAACCTGTGAGCATGACCACATAGTCCAACGGATAACTGCTTGAAGCCGGTCGCGCACGGCCTTATGGGAATTTTTTGATGTGTTAGCTCCGCACTTCAAAAACCTTAACGCCGGAGACGGGAATCCGTGGGGTAAGGTGTGACATTTTCCAGTCCGTTTCTTTCCATCATGAGAAGGCACCGTCGCTGCAGATGCTGGCTGTCCGAGGGAAACACTGTACTGCTGTCACCCCCCACATCCAGCAGTACGACTTCGCCTTCGGATGTTAAGTTGCTGCTTCTGATCTAACCGTTCTCCAACCGACCTGCTTAGGGTAGTAGGACCTAAGGGAACAAGTGTTCCACTTAATATAGCTCAGACAAGTCATCACAATAACCAAGCCCAGCTACCATATCAAGGTAGCAGCTACGATCGGGAATGGGGTGCCTACTTACTATTCATAGCGTCCACTTCCTGTACGAATATGATATTTCATATCTCATGAACCACAATCGATTTAACTGTGCAAAGTGTTGTTGTTTCTTGTAGAATTTAGTCTTTTTGGTTCTTTTTTGTCAGACTTTCAGCTTTACCTCAAAACTGATAGAATTCAGCAGCGAATGACTGACCATTCACATTCATGTACCAATCATACAGCGTTATATCAATCAACTCATCAAGATTTAAGTGAAATGGACTTTGAAAGAGGGATTTTGGGTGCTTCCACACGTGGTGATATTGATCGCGTCCGGAAATTATTAAATAAACATGTTAATGTTAACGTACCAGACAGTTATGGGTATACAGCTCTGGTATGTTAAAAGTGATATCTTAATTACTAGCATTATGCTGCTAGAAATAATCATGAAGATGTTTGCAAAGTATTATTAGAAGCAGGGGCTGATAGTTTCGCAAAGACAAAGAATGACGGGGCTACACCTGCACATCGAGCAGCATATGCGGGACATCTTGGTATTTTAAAACTGCTCGTCGGCAAGGGAGGAGCACCACTACTAGAATCTCGTGATAATTGTGGTAGGAACTGCTTGCACCACGTAAGTAGCCATATCCTTCATCCAGGGTTTATTTCCTAAAGTATTTTACATATTAAACGTACTACTAAAGTCATTGAGTTTTGTCCTAGTGTTGCAATACCAATTTTCGTGTAAATTTCTTGTTTAGTTATGCTTTTCACCTCTTTTTGTATACTGAATATGGATGTTTAAAATAGTAAGTGTTTAACCTAAGCTTAATTATGTTCAGTGAATCACTTGTATCCCAGTACTTTCATCTGTTAAGATGGTGATGTCATAAGATGTACTTTTTGAATCTATGTTACTTAAGATCAAATATTAACAGCATTAATCAATCTTATTAAATACTTTCCGCGGATTTGTTTATTTTATAAATTCTTTCATTTGTTTCCAGGCGTACCGAGGGAAGCAGAAAAATATAATAGATTGGTTATTGGAGAGCTATCCTAATCTGTCTAGTACTAGAGACAACAATGGTGTTCTTCCAGACTTCGTTGGTCAGTCAGCTAATGAAATGCACTGTCATGAATTAAATGTATGATCTATGGTAGATAAATAACTCACATTAAGGCTTTTCCATTTTTTATATCCAAATCTGACTTTGCTTATAACTAGTCTACTGTGTATGTTCATCACCATATGTTCATTCCCATATCACAGACTTAATTTTTAGAATTTTTTTCATTACTAAAGTATTACTCTGTGAATGGTATTTGTATAGCTACTTAATTACTAGATAGTATTGTCTTTTTATGTAGTTATATTTCTCAGTGGTACTTTAGCACAGAATATTTCAGCATAAAACAATTTACTCTAGTCCAAGCTATATACTTGACACTGGTTTAAATTCTATTTGACCTATAATATTGTCAGCAATGTGGTAACGTTAATCATTTTCAACAAGACGGTTGGTTGACTTTATTCAATATTATATTTTGGTACAATATAGAATTCTCAGCATGAGGTATTTTAACAAGTCTTTTTTACCAAAAAACAAAAGGTGAGGAAAATCTGAATCTGTATAACATTTTAATTAGAGACCTATTTAAGAATACAATTTACTGACTAGGTTAACTCTAACAACCTGATGTACGTACGTACAAAGTTCTACGTTGTGACTGAACAACCTGTTCGTCATAGGGTATATTTGCTAGGTAAGGTATTATAGAACTTTTATACATTTGCTTGTGTGCATGAATTTTAATGTATTGACATCTCGTTCTACCAGAAGATATATAAGGAGAAAGATGTGAATGAAGTGGATGGTTAGTATCTGAAAAGATAACACGTGCCAGGAGTTTGCAAGACTTAAGATGTCTATCCACAACCATATTAATAATGACCTCAAAAGATTCATCACACACCTTGCTAATTGCCTTCAGCACTCTCCACAGTGCAGCAAAGTCTTTTCTCGAAAGCCCGGGAAAGAATAATGGAGAATAGTAAAGAATAATAGGTAATATGCAGGAATTGATGAGTCGTAAGAGTAAATGTCGAACAATCCCAAAAGCATGCAGCCTCTTTGTGTAGTAAGTCAAACGGTAAACGTTTTTCGATAACAGTAAAACATGATAAGACCAAGAGAGATCAGATCAATACTGTGGATAATAAACCTAAGGCTACTTAGGATTTACGTCTCACTGGAAAAGGCCTCACAGTCGTTGCAGCTCTGCCCAGAGTATGAAACTAGTCTTGTTTCCCTTACTGTGTATGTCCATTCATTACTGGTACTATCTAGTTGATCTACTTTACAAGGTCCATCGCTATATGTAGCGGTATTTGTACTGTAAACAGCAATGTTTAAGAAGCAATAACCGTATTTCTGCCTAAGTTACAGAAATAGACGTTTTGAGATGTTAACAATAATTTTATCGTCCTCATTATACCAAAAACACGTTATCAGATCTCATTATTGCTTGCATAATGTTGTAATGGGATGCAACACTCTCTATGGAGAACGGCGTTGAGTACAGAAATATATCCAGTATTTTTAGCTCGAACAGTCGAAGTTTTCCTAAATACGACAGCACCCCTGTAAGTTATAGCAGTCCATCTGACCTTTTATAATGTGGTGTCAAAAATGACCTGGTGCCTGCCATAAAGAATTGATGAGTGAATATATGAAACCCCCAACTATTTTTGGCGAACCACGTAAGGTTGCCAACGTCAAATTTCCTGTCCTAGTAGTACTTTGCGTTTTGACAGTTCAAGCCAGGTCCTATACGGACGATGAGCACTTATCGACTAATTTTGATTTGTGACCTATATGGTATCACGTGGCAAGACAACAAATTCAAGGTCGAAGTTTATATTCAGACAACGCATTTGTGCCACCATTACATTCGTTTTCTAGAGTTGTCTCCAAAGTATTATTGATGTGTAAGCCAACGATTAATTGGGTTATTCTGCTTAATTCCTGCTGTCAAAAAGGAGTAGTAGAGACTACTGGTTGAATTCCATCACTATGATTGATGTGCTTGCTGTGAGGGACTTCCTGAATGTCAAAATACTAGACAAACCTTCCTCCACTAGACAGTCTCGTACGACCAATAGGAAACAACCTCAATATAAAATTACGGGACACTAGTCGGTCTGCAAGTAACTTGATACCAACCAAGCGGAAAGGGAAGACCTGGTCACTGCATCGATCACATTTTTTTCGCATAATCAGCACAATATGGTGGGAACTAGTACTTTCGCGCTACTGGTAGCGGAATTTATGTCTTAGCGATTAAGATGCCCCTTCGAAGGCAGTTACAAGATACCAACTTGTCGTTTTTTTCAAACGTCACAATAAACAAGAACATTGCTTCTGGTTAGTACTAGCCAGCCAACGAAATATGTTGAGGGGCGTTTCGAACAGGAAAGTGTTTACTGATTTCTTTGCGGATATTAGGAACTAATCAAAGATGGGAAATGGAAGTACTTATGGTTTTGGCACTTTGTGATCTTAGAATTAGAAGAGGCTGCTTGCAAAAGAATATAGTATCGACAGGAATACTCTGAAAAACAAATCAGTTGATATGCTTTGTTAATAATTGCAAGTCGCGGAGTGCTGTTGTTAGTCAACACGTTTTTTGTTTATATATCTGGATATATAACAATCTCAAAGAAACAATCATGATACATAATCTGTTTATTTAGCATAGTAACTCAGCTGAGCGGCGGAAATACTCAAGTAAACTGTATCAACAAAAATATTATAAAGTTCATATCACGTTAAAACCCCAAAAAAGCCAATGTTCGCCAGTTGTTTAGAATACAGACGGTCTTAATACAATGTGATTAGTTGTTTCGAAACTATTTCTTTGGTCGACAAGGATTATATTGCTAAGCCAAACACTGTAACGATAAAATACATAGACTTGTTTTCCCATTTTACTGTACAACTCCCTAAAATACAAAATAGTAATGATTGGTATGAATGTTGATGTTACGTATGTAGCAGATTATCATAAAGTCTACTGTTCCAGTGAATCTTTGTGCTGAAAATTTACGTCATACTTTAACTTAACTTACACAATAAAATTTGCGGATTTCATCTCTAAGCTTTGTTCAAACTCTTAGACGGAACTGAATTGAAGGTTTTTGTCCCTGAATATACAGTCCAGCAATGCCTTTCCTTTTCTTACAACATACATAAGAAGTACGCTATAACTGCCTGAATAGTTTCGTAAGAACTTGTAGCAGTAACGATACCCGCTGTTAAAAATGCTAACGTTACAAATAAGCCTTATATGAGGCTACAAATCACGATTACAGATACAGTCGATACGGAAGAGGTGACCAGTAACAAATGGGCCTTTTAATTATCTGCCGATAGACTAGTCACAACGACCGCTTTTTGCGTCGTTACTCTACTAAGCGCTTATCTCTGACTAACACCAACAAAAAACTATTTAATGACCGCAACATTAGCTGGTAGATATAGACAGAATTGTGGTTAGTTAAGGTGGAGTTTTGGCAAAGGGCTCTTGTTCTTCAGAGAGTTTCTAGCAGTGGATTCGTTCGTGAAAGGACTGGAGAATGTGGTCGTCCCATACATTATTTTCAGTCAAGGTTTACCTTAACATATTAAAAATTTCAGACAAAATGTTTAAAAAGAACCTTTCATAATATGGTGCATAGCGGTTTATGTAGTTCATATCAATCCTGTAAAATTAAGGCTCCGATGAATAAGAGGTAAAAGGTAGCCACCAGTGGTGATGAGTTATCCGTAAATTTACTGAACGACTGACTTTCGGAAATATAGGTAAGATTAGGTGTTAAATAACCATAGCATCAAGACACGATCCATTGGTCTAAATAACACTACTCTTATAATCCGTATTTCGATATCCAGCTACTGTTTCCCAACCACAAGATCAAACACAATTACAATGAGCTGACTCAAGCGAGATTTGTCCACCGCAAGACACAACGATAGACATTTCCTGAAAAAGTAAATGACTTGACAGTTTTTGGCTTGAGAGATAAACATGTATGCTGATCATTTACTAATTACTATTTTGTCTCATCTTGAATGAGTCATTCAAAACGACTTTCACATTATGTGACAAACTTTTACCTTAACTTTCGATTTTACATGTATCTATCAAAGTTAAAAGGAACGGACGTATTCATATCTCAAGCTTAGGAGTAGGGTTTTATTTCCAGGCTATTTTCCGTTGCAGCTTTTAGATAATATTAGTAAATGTAATCTACGTAAGTTTCAGCAAATCTTTCGACAGGATTCCGTATGACAGACTTTTGCCAGACATAGAGGACTGATACCTGCTTAAGCGCATCGAGGAGTTTCTTACTGACTGCCGAGAAAGTACGAATTAACTAGACTGTTTGAAACAAGCAATTAGCGTGTTACCACAGGGCTCTGTACTAAGCAATGTTTTATTATGTCAATGAACTTCCGTATATCATCGTATCTTTAATGTCACTTTGTTTTGATAACATCAAAACAAAGACGTAGCACAAGATGAAGATATAAGAACAATCTATCACAATTGATTGATCACTGGGTGGTGATCAATGTCATGCGTGTTAAGTCCTTCTTAGTGCTGATCGAATGCTATCGATCAAGTTGCAATGTGGCCACTAGTCTAGGCGGCTTGACACTGCGGGCACTATATATTAAGATAAGATGGTGGTTGGAGGTGGTCAACAGGAAACCCTGGACCCGCGTTTCGTGCTGTTTGGAACTCGTCAGCAAGGTGAACCTGTAATCTTGAGGGAACCGGTGCTCCCTGACGGATTCGATCCCGTGCCAGGGAGCACCGGTTCCCTCAAGATTACAGGTTCACCTTGCTGACGAGTTCCAAACAGCACGAAACGCGGGTCCAGGGTTTCCTGTTGACCACCTCCAACCACCATCTTATCTCAAGAACAGTCTAGGCTAACTTTTACGTCTTGTTGAAGTGTTCTGACAGTGAACACCTATCAATGGAAGCGTCTCAGTGTGCATTAGATACAGACGGCATTAACTAAAGAACCGGCGACCCACCTCTAGGGTTTTTCCTAACTTATAGTGACATAACAGTTATAGGAAGTCAAAACCACGGCTCACTGCTGTTCAGTTTTGGCTAGAGATTTCTGAACAGTAAAGGTGGTACAACTATCACAAAAATAGGAAGGGATATATCTATTACCACTTACACATTGCCATTAAGGTACGAACCAAAAGGTGTGTATAAGCCATAGGGAACTGTTTGAGAAAAAAATCTAGACCTGTTTGAAGGAGTACAGAAGATCGATACCAGAGTAGTCTACGAAGATGGTTTGTATAACTCATAATAAGTTTGAGATGTTAGGGTTCCTTGCGATTTCATACCGCAGATTAGAAAGAGATGCGGCTGGGACGCGTAGAATATTAAGAAATGATCTTGAAGTTGGTGTATCTTTTTGGTTTCTTCTAACTACGTCAGGAAGACTCGCTGGACATCGCAGGCGGGTCTGTAAGCGGAGAACAGAGTCTTCTGGACACACAGGTCTTGTGATAGGTCAATCAACCTTTACTGAGAGCGAATGTCTCTAGCTAACTCATTATATAGACATAAACATGAAAGCATGACAGAAGGGGATCGACAAAAGCATCTGGGATTTGGCCTTAAAACACAAGTCAGGATATATTCTTTTAAAATAATTTACGTCATAAAACTGTACACTCACCGTCAGTAGTACTATCCCAATAACAAGAGCTTGCAGTATGTAGTCCAGCTCCACTTTTCTGCATTATTACACATGTGACTAGAAATGATGTTAACATAATTCCGTCAAGCATACCGATGTACTTAAAAGGTTTTCCAAGTTTAGTCAACTGACTGAGACATTGTTCAATCACAGAAGAAGTCCACTGTTGTACTTTATTATGTGAATAAGAACTAGAACCAATGATGCCTTCTATGCTCTAAAGATTTGTTCAAAATCTGATAGTTATGGAATCTCTCGCACCTCTTTAACTATGTTTTTTACTTCGTCTTGGACAAAGGTTGTCTATTAGATAAAAACTGTGATAATGTGAAGAATTACCTCTTCAGATGTTTGCAAATCATCCATTATGCACTGAAACCAAATTACACGGCAGTAGTTAAGGGAAGGGCATAGTGACCCAAGTTAGCAAGAATAATGCAGTTAAACAAGAAAATTAACTTACAAGAGTTTAACTCAGTGAAAGAAATTTACTCATCTCTTTTCCAGAAGAAAATCATCACAAGAAATTACTGAAAGCTTCTTGTATGGTGACCATATTTTGTTGAGATATGAGAAAGTTGGTTGATAACCTCTTTGTCTTCAGAGGTGATGACTAGATGTTTAATTGACTTACAATAATTCTATCAATCTGTAGCACTTGAGACAGTTTCGCTTCACTATCGACAATTGTTGTTACGGGTTTTTCTTTGAGTGAGATTAGGTTTTCCACTTGTAGCAGTAGATAAATCCCCAAAATGAATTGTTCTGTTCGTCTTCAAGATTGATGTTGACCTCACTATTTTTAGTGAACACACCCCGGCTGAAGGCGCACCTGGTCACGCTTGAGTGTGCTTTGTTACTAATCCCTTGCAATTATAAATCACCCTAGACCCATACGCTTCTCAAAATACGGCTCTTAACATTTCAGCTGCTCGGAATTCACTTGGCAATGGGAACATGGTTGATATCTCTCAGGCTTTCAAAATTATTAATAGACAAAGAAACATAGCGTCTCTTCGGTTTGCCGAAACAACAGAGGTGAAAAAAACTCAAACTTGGATTATGTATAACAATAATAAATCTACTACTACCATTGCAACTTTTTTTCAATATATTTTTACTGTTCATTTCGTTATGTGGTTTTTCCTTGCCGAATTTTCATTTCATGTACATTAAAAGCATCCCTTCACTGATACATTTCCGTTCATTTAATTCAATCATATGAATTCTTCAAGTCCTGTCAAATTATTACGTGACCCTGTAGTGGATGTCGAGTCGAAGGCGGACTATGATCACCACTACAATTCGTTTACGCGCCCAAAAACGACTTGGTTCCTTTGATAGCTCGTAAATCAGAAGACTTTATTAATCCAGATCAATTGTATTTATTGGCGATCTCGTGGTATTGAAATAATACCGAGACGTGCCAAAGAGTACAGGCGAACAGGCAGTGCGTGAGCAAGTTCGAACCAAACAAGGCGGAGAGCGAAAGCAGAAGTGAAACTGATACAGTTAAACAAATACAGTAAAACAATCTCTGGTACAATTGGTTACAATAATAATAATTGTTTCCATTATTCCAATCGTGTTCTTATCGAGACTGGCCGGTCACTACAGGAGCCCCCCGCTAGAAAGTGTTTACACTCTCGATACGTAGCGGTTTCATTCGTGGGACTGATCGCGAAACGTGTAATTGTAGGACGAAGGCGTTGGCAGAACAGGAAGTGATCGTTGATCCTCGAGTTGCTACCAAAAGTCTTGGACGTAGAACGGTGCCAGAAGGAACGTACTGTATTGATTGTTTGAATTAGCATGCTACACCAGAGTGATGTGTATTCAGAATCTGAAGGTTGCGTTCGTAGAGGTCCGGACCAGAAACGCTGCAGACGTAGGACGAAACCAGATTGAGCCAAGTAACCAGATGCGACCAGGATAACCATGTTCGGGACCGAATGTATACCATACCTATTTGGAGCCAGAGAGGTCGACTGAGTGCGTTGACTAGAGCGTGGATGATCAGGCCAGCTTTCGCCAAAGTTGACTGAAGTCGACGATACCGTGGCAGCGATGGTCGGAGGCGTAGGCTCGGGGTAAACAAAAAAATGATAGAAAAAGAGAAAATTGTAGCATTCTTGTAGTATAGGGTTAAGGTCCTATACTGTATCCGCTGCTGGTTATGAGGTTAGTCGCGAAAGCGTACGGGTAAGCGTACTCGGCGACCGGAACGTGAGACGGTAGTCTCGTTCGAACCTCGTGAGCCTGCAATCTCATCCACAGTCAAGGGCGGTGTGGTCTGCTGGTCTTGACGTGAGACGGAAGTCTCGTCAGTAGACGGGGCAGATGACAAGTGCTGTTGACTGGGACGTGAGAATGAGGTCTCAGGTGCATCTAGCGTGGGATCCGAAGTAGATGTAGAGATCCCGCTAGAAGCTTTGATGAGTTTAGCATTGGGTCTCGGCTTATAAGGTAGGGCACTGTCATCGACGTGTGCTGGCTTTGGACGATCAATGTTGACGATTTCGACGCGGCCATGGTGATCAACCTTGAAGGTCTTTTCGTGACGGGAAATCACGTGAAAAGGTCCTTCGTAAGGCTGTTGTAGAGGTTTGCGTACCGAATCTACTCGTATGAAAACATGTGAACAGGTAGATAACTCTCGAGGGAGAGCGACCTGTCGATGTTGTATGCGAGTTGACACCGGAGTCAGTGTTCGCATGAATGCAGACAGTCGTTGGACATAGTCTGATTTAGGGTAACATGGTGGTTGGAGGTGGTCAACAGGAAACCCTGGACCCGGGTTTCGTGCTACTTGCCACTCGTTAGCAAGGTGTACCTGTAATCTTGAGGGAACTGATGCTCCCTAACGGATTCGATCCCGCGTCACTCAGCTTCACAGTCAGAGACGTTACCACTGAGCTATTCGGGCCGCGACCGACCTCCTGTAGGACTGAGATCTAATCACAATTGATTGATCACTGGGTGGTGGCCACCAGTCTAGGTGGCTCGACACTGCAACTTGATCGATAGCATTCGATCAGCACTAAGGACCTGACACGCATGAGATTGATCACCACCAATCAATTGTGATAGTCTGATTTGCCGAAATTGTTACTGCTCCGTGGTGTGAAAAATTCCCCAGGCAGACGCAATGTCGTGCCGTAAACAAGTTCAGCGGCGGAACATTGAATATCTGCCTTTAAACTCGTTCTGATACCCAGGAGAACGAGCGGTAAGGTTTCGTACCAATTGTCGTTTTCGTGTGCTCGAAGAGCACTTCTAAGTCGGCGATGAAACCGTTCAACTAAACCGTTTGATGCTGGATGGTAGGCGGTAGTGCGTATGCGTTCCGTACCAAGCAGTCGTGTTAGTGAGGAGAATAATGCGGACTCAAATTGTTGTCCTCGGTCAGTCGTGACAGTCGAGGGACAACCGTACAGAGCTATCCATCGTTCTACGAAGCGGTGAGCAACTGTCTCTGCCGTAATAGACGTGTTGGGAATAGCTTCAGGCCATCTTGTGAAACGATCAATGCACGTGAGTATGTGATCATACCCGTGCGATGGTGGTAATGGTCCTACAATGTCTATGTGAACGTGATCGAAGCGAGCATCAGGCGTAGCGAAAGTGCCGATAGGGGCAGCTACGTGCCTGTGCACTTTTGATCGTTGACATTGTAAGCATTGCTTTACCCACATACGGACATCTTTATTCATGGACGGCCAGATACATCGTGCAGCGATGAGGCATAATGTGGCTGCGATACCAGGATGAGATAAACCATGAAGGGCATCAAAGACGAGACGGCGATAAGCGAAGGGTACGATGGGTCGAGGGAGGCCCGTGGAAGTATCGCATAGGATAGTACCTGAGCTAGTAGCTAGGGGTATTTCCCGGCACTGAAGGGACGTAGACTGTTGTGCTTCCGTGCATGAAGTATCGTTTGCTTGGGCGGTGGCCATAGCAGGTAGATCGAGCACTGGCAAAGTAACTGCATTCAGTTGGATACGTGATAAAGCGTCAGCAACACAGTTCGACTCGCCTTTGACGTGACGAAGGTCTGTCGAGAACTGAGAGATATAGTCTAAATGTCTGCACTCTCGTGGTGAGTAGCGGTCAGACTTGGTATGCAGGGCATACGTTAAGGGCTTATGGTCGGTGAATAGGATGAAATTACGACCTTCTACAGCGTGCCGGAAATGTTTGATGGCGCAGTAGGCTGCTAGCAGTTCGCGACCAAAAGCGCTGTATCTCGTCTCCGTGGGAGTGAGGCGTCGTGAGAAAAATTCGAGGGGCTGCCAACTACCGGAGATATTCTGTTGCATAACGGCTCCTATGGCGAAATCCGATGCATCAACCGCTATACTAAGCGTGGCTGATGGATTAGGATGCACGAGAAGTGTGGCTTGAGCTAGGGCTGTTTTGACATCTGAAAATGCAGTACGTGCGGCGTCATTCCATTCCAGTTTGCGTGTATTGCCGCGAAGTAAATCGGTTAACGGTCGTAACTGTTCTGCCGCGTGCGAAATGAAGCGTCGGTAGAAGTTAACCAAACCGAGAAATGCCTTCAGTTCCTTGAGTGTGGACGGCACAGTGTACTCCATTATAGTACGTACTTTATCCTCACAAGGTAAAATACCCTCATGCTTAATAACATGACCTAAGAATTTTATTTCCTTCTTCCCGAGTTCACACTTGTCGGGGTTGACTATTATTCCATTATCCGAAAGGCGCTGGAATAGTAGCGTTAGGTGTTGATAATGTTCATCTACGCTTGATGATGCGATTAGCAGGTCATCAAATTAGACGTGAACAAAATCTAGGTCTCGTACGATGCTATCGATAAACCTTTGGAAAGTTTGAGAAGCATTCCGTAATCCAAATGGCATTCGTAGGAACTCAAATAAACCGAAAGGAGTCGTGATGGCAGTTTTCTCTATATCTTCAAGAGCGACTGGGATCTGGTGATATGCTCGTACCAGATCGATCTTGGAAAAAATTGTCGTGCCCTTGAGTGATGCCGTGATGTCATGTATGTGGGGGATGGGATAGCTATCGAAACGTGTAGCTGCGTTTAACGCTCGGTAGTCTCCGCATGGTCTCCAACTAACCCCATCCATTTTTCGAACCATGTGGAGAGGTGGGGCCCAAGGACTGTGAGAAGGACGAATAATACCAGTAGCTAGTAAATTGTCGAACTCACGTTTAGCGAAAGCTAATTTGTCCGGTGCCAGTCGGCGAGGTCTTGCCGTGACTGGTGGTCCGCGAGTGACTATGTGGTGTACCACACGATTGGTCATCGATGGAGTCTCCGCGAGAGGTTTAGTTAATTTGGGGAATTTCTGAAATAAAGCGTGGAATAAATCGTC